GTATTTAACCTACCAAAGGCAGTACCCTGCCTTAGGATTCTTATCCATTTGAGCAATTCCAGAGGCCTTCTGGATGATCAGATTCTTAAGTAGTTGAGACTTTGTCTTGAGATTGTCATCCTCACCCCTGGACCATGTGAATGAGTGAGGGGAAAGGCCCCACCTGTTGGTAGGAGAGGAGATGTGCCTTCTTGTCACTTCTTAGGGTTGGGTGAGGAGTCCCTCTTCTCTTGATCAGTGATTCCTCAGAGGGTCTGTGCAAGGCAGGCAGCATTTTTACCTTAGATAGAATGTTGGAGGAAAGTCAGATAAGATGACAGCTCAGGCTGGGGCCTAGGAACTCATTCTATATCACATACTTAACTGGAAAAGACTGAGCAAGTCCCTTCACCTCTCTGGTTCACAGTTTCTGTGTCTGTCAAATGAAGGACTTGATAGGGATGATATCCAGTTTTTTCTTCTAATGCTAATGTGTATTCAAGGACCATTGCTATATTTTACAAGGAGCATAAGGAGTGTTAGACAGGAAAGGCCTGGGGGCAAGCGGGAGGCCTAAGTCCTTGATCTTGGTCTCAGGACCCAGTGCTGTCCTCCCCCCCAGCCTCTCAGTTATGAAAGGACAAGAGGATTCTCTCCCTTGCTCCCTCTTCCTTATACTCTTTCCACTGCATACCATTAAATCTTTTTTGGGGGATGTTTTTAAGGAGATAGCTCAGTGTAATAGCTTGGGCTGCCATAATAAAATAACATAGATTAGGTAGCTTAAAGAACAGATACTTATTTTCTCACAGCTCTGAGAGCTGGAAATCTAAGATCAGGGTGCCAGCATGGTGAGAGCCCTTTTCCTGGCCTGTTCATGTGGCCTTTCCTTGTTACATGCCCTTATATGACCACCAATCCTGTTGGATTGTGACCTCATCTAACATTAGTTACCTCTTAAATGCCATCTCTCCAAGTATAGTCACATCGGGGGTTAGGGCTTTGACAGGAATTTTGAGGGGGTTTCAGTTCAGTCCACAGTACCCAGTAATGGAGGGATCCCAGTCTATATTTGTGCAGTGAGGTTTCTGCTTTTTAAAAGCTCACAAACCCGTGGACCTGAAGGTAGGATGATTTGTAGTGGTTCAGTGCCCTGGTTCTGGACAGACCTGTTTTGAGTCTCTTCTATTACTTACTAGTCATGTGGTCTCTCTGGGAGCCAGCATGCTCATCTGAAAATGGGATGATGGGTGACTGAGAGGATCAGATAGGGCTTTTATGGAGGGTCTTGGCACTGAGTTGGGTGTTCCTGCTGAGCACTCAGCCAGTGAGTGGTAGTGATTACCACTTCTCTGCAGTCTTGTTTCCCAGACCCCTGTGCCCCTGCAGTGCTCAGCTCTCATCTAGCAATGACCTCATTCTTTCAAATTCATTCTTCCCAGCTTCCTAAGACTGAAAAGGTAGGTGGGTGATGAGCATCTGGAGGCTGTGGCAGGCAGTGGGTCAGGCCCTGTCCTCCAGTAAGTGCACACCTCAGTGCTTTTGATTCACCCTTAAGACAAAACAGGCAGCCCTTTCACCTCATACTGAGCACATCTCCGTCCCTTTTAGAGACAGGATCTCACTATGTTGCCTAGGCTGAACTTGAACTCTTAGACTCAAATGATCCTCCCAAGTAGCTGAGACTACAGGCATGTGCCATCGTGTCTGGTTTTTTTTTTTTTTTTTTTTGAGTTGGAGTCTCACTCTGTCGCCCAGACTGGAGTGCAGTGGCTGCTCCCGGCCACCGCAGCCTTGACCTGCTGGGCTCCGGCAATCCTTCCGCCTCAGCCTTCCAAGTAGCTGGAACTGCAGGCGCGCGCTACCATGCCCGGCTAATTTTTGATTTATTGTAGAGATGAGGTCTCGCCAAGTTGCCCAGGCGGGTCTTGAACCCGTGGGCTCAGGCAATCCACTCACCTCAGCCTCCCATCGTCTGGTTTTTTTTTGGGGGGTGTGGAGAGGTTGAGTAGGAGTCACTTCGTCACCCAGACTGGAATGCAGTGGCATGCTCATGGCCACCGCAGCCTCGACCTGCTGGGTTCAGGTGATCCTTCCACCTCAGCCTTCTGAGTAGCTGGAAACACAGGCACGTACCACCACACACTCGCCAAGTCGCCTAGGCTGGTCTTGAACTCCTGGACTCAGACAATCTTCTTGCTTCTGCTTCCCAAAGTGCTGGTATTACAGACGTGAGCCTCTGCACCTGCCTTGTCTGGCCATTTAAAAAACATTTGATTTTTTAGTTTCAAAAATGACAGTTTCAAGGGTAGAACCAAAAAACATTTTACTGCGTTTTTTTAATCATTTGTTCTTACCCTCCTCTCTTCCCTTGGCCCTTCTTTTTCTTCCCCTCCTCTATGAACCATGAATTACTTGAGTGTTATTTGCATATCTCATGCTCCTTTACCCCTAAAATGTTGTAGTGTACATTTCCTAAGAATAAGGACATCCTCTTATATGTCCGTAGTATAATATCAAATTCAGAACTCTGATCAGTTCAAGAGTTGCTAATTTGTAGTTCATGTTTCAATTTTGCAAAGTGTCCCAATAATGATTCTTAAAGATGTTGCTTTCTGATCTGAGATCCAGTCCAGGATCAGGCACTGCCTTTAGTTACCTTCTTTGTAGTCTCCTTTATTTTTTTTATTTTTATTTTATTTTTATTTTTTTGAGTCGGAGTCTCTGTTGCCCAGGCTGGAGTACAGTGGCACGCTTATGGCCACTGCAGCCTCGACCTGCTGGGCTCAGGCGATCCTTCCACCTCAGCCTAACAAGTAACTGGAACTACAGGCACACGCCCCCATGCCCAGCTAACTTTTTGATTTATTGTAGAGACGAGGTCTCACCAAGTTGCTCAGGCAGGTCTCGAACCCCTGGACTCAGACAATCTTTTCGCCTCAACCTCCTAAAATGCTGGAATTACTGGCTTGAGTCACTGCGCCCGGCCTTGTAGTTTCCTTTAATCTAGAGCAGTTCCATAACCTTCCTTTGTCTTTTATGACATTGACCTTTTGTAGAATGCCCACATTGGTCCCTGAGCATTTGTTTAAAGTGAACTAAGTTAGGAAACCACTTTCATATTTTTTGGGTAAGCGTGTATTTGCTGAACACCCAGCTTTGCACTAGGTGCTGTGAAGGGGAGCATTCCATAGCAAAGCCTTAGGCTCTAAAGTTTGGGTTTGTGGGAAAAGCAGTCACTATCAGGTGGCTCAAAGGGGCCCTGTGTGTGCTTATGATTAGAGACACTGACAAGCTTGGATAAATAACTCTTGGATGCAGGATGAATCAGCATTCTAGAAGCCTACAAAGATGGAGAAGATAGCTCTGCTCCCTGTCCGGCCTCCAGTCATCGACTTTTCCTGGCCTCCTGAGGTGCCCTGAAGTTCATACTCCAAACACGAAGTCTTGCTTCTCAGAAAACTCTTGAGCTGAGTTTTGGGTTCTAGCTCTGCCCTAACTAGGATCTGCTTTGTGATGTTGGGCTACTCTCTTCCCCTCTAGGCCCGTGCTGGGAGAGGAGTCCCCTTGTGGCTCTCCCAAGTGTCCTTGGAACTCAGAATGAATTGGGGGGAGGAGAAGAGTCACTGAGCCCTGAAGTGGTGGGAAGATAGGCCACAGATCAAAGATCCCAGCCAAGGCTATGACAAAGTTAAACAGACTCAGGATGGTTTTCATCATGATTTGGCAGGAAAATTATCAGACTGGAACTTTGCTTTTTCAACCTTTTAACTTCTCTGCTGGGTGGTATACAGGATGAAAAATGGTGAATTGTAATCTCTACCAAATAACCAGGTAAGATCTAATAGGTATTTTGTCAGACTGAAGCAGACAATGCAAAAATATTTGAAGTGTCATTGGATCTTCACAAAACTTTGGCCAAACAAGCTTTCAATGTGAGAACCAAAATAAAATTGATTTTCTTCTGTTTGTTGAGTCAATGCCATTGTCCACTCTGTGTTAACACATTAACACTTCAAATTTCTCTCCCGAGGGCTGCAGACACTCAAGGGAGAGAGACATATAACACTCATGCCTTTTAAAATTAAAATTAAATAAAATTTAAAGTTTCGTGTCACCACATGTGGCTAACGGCTACTGTATTGAGCAGTGCAGATCTGACACAGTTCCATCACTGCAGAGAGTGCTGCTGGACAGAATTGCTCTGTACTTCCAGCAGCCTTGGATGCAGGGGCACAGGAAAGGCTTCTTTCCATGACAAAGACTTGGCCACATTTTGAAGTCAGCACTTAAATGATTGTAAACTCAGCAGTTTATCCTCTGGAATGTTGGGATGGATCAGAGGTATGATGAAAGATTTATGGAATCTTACCTCTTCTGTTATTATGGTAACTCATAGCCCTGTTACCATCTGTTTCAGCATCAGTCTGCCGTCTACCTGGCTTTAAAGAGAGTCCAGCCAGTGTCTAATTGAGGCAGTGATTTCATTCATTGTGTTTGGTCTTTCCACTTAACCTGGCCCCTCTATAACCCTGGGACCTTGAATGCACAGATCCATGCAGGAGCCCAGCTTCTGGTTGTGGGGGCACTTCCTATGGGAGGGGAACTCCTGCCTCACTGCTGAGGCGACCACCATTAAGGACCCTGGGCTAGGAGCTGGGCTGAGAAGTCTGGTCGTTCTGGGGCAGGACAGGGGACTGGGACTCATGGATGATACAGATAGCGAGCTGGACTAATACTGCTCCTGCACCTCCAACATCTGCCAGGGACACCCAGAATTATGGTCCTGGGCCAAGCCTCAGCTCACCATTCCATGCAAATGTGGATCAAAACGTTGGTGACAGAGTGGGGCTGACAGTTGTCTCAGCTCCTGGACCCAGCTCACACCTGCTGAGGAAGCCACACGGCTGGCTTGGCTGGCTGTGTGCAAGCGGGAGTGTCTCTGTCGACTTGAAAATGCCTGCCTGCCTTGAAAGTGCCTGCCTGCCGGTGGGTCCTTGCCTGCGTATGTGCCTCTGTCCCCGCCTCCTGACCTCCCAGGCTAAGAAGGGGAAGCTGAGTGGGCCTAGGCCCGTGTGTAGCTGCCACTGCTTACACGCAGCTGACTGCTCCAGCTAGGATGTGGCTCTTCCACACTCTGCTCTGCATAGCTAGTAAGTCTCACCCCTTGGGCTGCTGTGCCCTCAGCTCCAGTTGGATGCCTGTCTGTCTGTCTGTCTGGTGGGGCTCAGTCAGGGCCAGGAGTCAGAAAAAGCGGGAGCTTCCTCAGGGAAGTGCTCTTGCTTGGTGGGTCAGGTCTCCAAGTTCGTTGGGAAGGGCTTCTGAGGCACAGCGCTGGTGGTGCTGACAGCTGTGGCTTCAGACTCCAGGGCTTTGCCACCGTGTTCCTCCCCCACCCAGGCTCTCTCCCCATGGCACCCATTCAGGGCAGATGGGTCTGTGGTTTGTTCTCTGAGTTCTCAGAGTGTGGGGGTGAATGGTGCCCCACTGTGTCCAGCAGAGCCCGCTTCTGTTAGCAGGGGCTCAGCTCATGAGGGCAAGGACCCTGTGAGAGTGTAAGTGTGGATGGGACACTGGGGGCGAGTATGTTGGCGAGTCTGTTTCCTGTTTCTGTTGTTGGGGCCACTGAAAACCAGAGGGGAGGTCCCTCTGCTGCCTGGGGGGTCCCATTATGACCTTTAAACCTCTCACGGAGGTCACTTTGGTCAAGCCAGGCCATAAGCCTCCCCAAATGGTCCCAGAGACAAGACAAATGGTCAGGTGAGCCCCTGGAGTCTGCTCAGATCAAGTGAGACCAGGGAGGGCCTGCCTTATGATCTGGGCAGACTTACTGGGGATCTCCTTCCCTTGGTCAGAGGCTTTGCAGGGACAGGTGAGAATGAGATGGACATTAGGCATAAGTGGTTTAAAGGCTCTTACTAGCCTGAGTTCTCCCTGAATGATGGGCTGGGGCCAGCCAATGAGCATCAGTGGCAGCTCAGTGCTTGCTGGGAGGGGATTTGGTTGGCGTCCACCATGAGGCCAGATCCCCCTCAAGAAGCAGGCTAAAATGTGAAGGGCACCAGCAGGACATGCATTTTTGTATGGGTTTTAATATTTGATATTTCAAAAAGATCAAAATAGCATGGAAAGATCAAAACTTTGTTTAACTTCCTATTTCTCATTTTACAATGTAGACCTCTCTTTATTTTCAGAAACGGGGCATGAGAAGAGACTCATTCTTTTATAACTTATGACTTTGACCCCCCCATCGCCAAGCATGTCTAGGGGAAGTCCTTAGATAGACTCTAGTCTTCCCCCTCCAAGTACAGAGGAGGTGACAGAGGCCGGCAGGGCACTGTCTGTCCAGGGCTGAAAGCATGTGACAGTAGAGACAGGGCTGAAGCCTAGGCCTCTGTCCTGTCTCCTAACTTTAGAATACTCCCATGCCTCGGGCCACTAACCCTCCTGTCACTCTGGCCTCCTGCTCATCTCTGTCTCTGCAGCCTCTGGGACAACTGCCCTTCACCTCAGCACCTTTTTCAGCAGATGTCATGGATCCCTCTCTCGGGCTGAGGCCTGTGGCCCTGCTGGGGGAGTGGGAGGGCATCAGATCCAGCTCTGTCTGAGCACAACCCTAGACCAGGGTGTGAGTGTGTGATATAAAACCTTAGTCCTTGGGGAGTGGGGGACCGCTGGTGCCTGAGGTAGGCCCTGAAGGGTGGGGGAGTCTTTAGCAAGTTCAGACTGGTGGGGAGGAGGGGCCTGCTGTGCAGGGGACACAGTAGAGACAAAGACCTGAGGGTGGGAGGAGTCTGGTTTCCGAAGGTGGAGGGTGAGGCCTGATGGGGAGCAGAAGGCTATCTGCGCTGATGTTACCTTCCCTCCTGCCCCAAATCAGGACATGCTGGGCCCTGGTGGTGAGAGCAGAGGGGAGGACACTGCCTCTATCCCTGGGACCCCTGTGTGAAGAGAAAGCAGGCTGCACACACAGTAACCGCCCTCTCCCACAGGGTCCATGGAGGATGCCTGGAGGTCTCACACGGGGGTAGGGAAAGGGCGTTCCAGGCAGAGGGCACAGCCCAAGCTAAGGTAAAGTGTCAGGGAAATGCAGCATTTGCGGGTGACCCAGGTGGGTGGAGTGTGGGCTGTGTGAGAACCCGATGGGAAGGTGATTCGGATGAGGTGTGTATGGGGGGAACGTGGGTCTTCAAGGCCCACAGTGGAGGTGGTGAGGAATGTGGAGGGCCCGGAGTGCCAGGCTGAGGGAGCTTGCACTTCACGGTAAGGGCATTAGGAAGCCACAGAAAGTCTTGACAGGGTGGTGATAGTTAGACTGGTATGATATATGGCAGGTGGAATCCAGAAGAAAGGGGAGGCATAGAGGCCCAGGAGGGCTGCTGCCTGGGTTCACTGGGTTGGGGGAGGCCGTAGGCATAGGAAGGAGGAGACACTCATGAGAAATGTTTCATTTCTAGCACATGGTCGCGGTACTAGGTAGACTGAAGGGCAAAGGAGGGCGTGGGCCCAGCTGAGTATGAGGTTTGATGGAGATGACGAGGCTCCTGTGCGGAAGACCAGGGTGGGTGGGCCGTGGATGTATGGTCCTCGAGCAATTCCCCTGGACAGGCCTCTGCAGAGGGTTGAGGCATGATCTTTCCACAAGGCCTTTCTGGGTGTTCTGGGCCAGTTCCTTTATAAATCTGGGCAAGCCATGGCCCAAGTTTCCTAAACTGGCATTCGTGATGCCTTGCTATACTGTGAGAATGTGTATTTAAATGCTCAACATGATGGGGAGACGGGTGGAGGGAAGGCAGTGGCGGCTGACAGGATGGAGGGTGACCTTAGTCTGACTCAGCAGGCCCTTGTGGCTGGAAACAGCTTGGGGGGGCAGCCCTGTGGGTAGTGTGGTGATAGACATGAGTGTAGCTGGGCCCTCACGTCTGACAGCACACGAAGGGGGCTTGAGAAGAAAGGCTAGGCCCTCACTTTTGGTTATAATCCTCCAACTTGCGCATCCACGTGCTGAGCCTCCTGCATCAGACGCTAGGCTGAGCATTGCCCCTTTGATCTGCACAGCTCCATGTCACAGAGGCGGAGGCTGAAGCGAGGTGACAAGCCCAAGTTCCTTCAGTTTCTCCAAGGAAAAACGAGGCTTTGACCTCAAGACTGTCTGCCAAGACTAAGCGATTTTTCTCTGTCTTTGTGGGGAATGTGACAGGAAGGATTTGCCTGATGTAGAGGCAGCCCAAGTAAAGGTAAAATGTCAGGGGCCTGGAGAGAGTGGCAATGAGCAAGATGAGGCATCAGCTCTCTCAGGGAAAGCCCAGCAAACATGGTGAACCCCCTCACTCACACACACACACACACACACCCTCCCCCGCCACACACACTCCTGCCTCTGCAGGAGGTTCTTGCTGAATTACCAGCTCCCTAAAGCAGAGCTCTGCCCAGCTTACTGAGCTGCCAGTGCAGTAGGGAGCAGTGCCCTGCAGGAGAAGCACCCACCTTCTTGGACACATTTGCAATCCCACCCTCTCTGTGTTTACCAACCCCTCAGTGCCTCTAGCTTTTACTAAAGGCATCAGAATCAGGTAGACCTGAGCCCAGACACAAGTAGTCAATTTACTAATGGACTATGAGCAAATCACTTAAGTGCTCTGAGCCCCAGAACCTGGCATGGTAGCTGGAAGACAGCAGATGCTCCAGGAGGGTGGCTATGATGGCTCTCCACTTGTCTCCTCCTCTTTCCCACCCCTTCAGGGATCTTGCACTAAGATCCCTCAGTTGAGCAAAGTGAAAACAGGGCTGGAAGGCAGGGTGAGGAACAGGAGTATCTGCCCCATTCTGACATTTCCAGGACTCCTTTTCTGGGTCTGGCCCTGTGCTGAGCTGGGCTTTGTGGCTGGGCTATCATGAATGACTCAGATCAGATAACAGTTTGGAGGAGACACGCTTAATCACAGATCACTCTGACCCAGACAGGATTTAGTCAGAGCCAGACAGCGACATCATGGGATGCCGAGGAGGCTCGGGAACCAGGGAGTTACTCTAACCAAAAGTCTGGGTTGGCGCGTGGCTCCTGGCTGTCTGAGCGGGGCTTGCAGGCAGGCGTAGGAGAGTGATGAGGAAGGCATGTTGGGCAGAGGGAACAGCTTGAGCAAAGGCTCAGAGATAGGAGTGTGCAGATGGTGTTCTGGCAGGAACTGTAGAGGAGCTGGAGAGCATGCCTGGCAGAGGGGTGCATTGGACTGGGTGGGAAGGTGCTACGGATGCCCAGGTGAGGAGACTGGACTTTTCTCTGGGTCTCAAATTGTGTCTATCTGTTATACAGACAATAGAAACCTCCACTCACCCCTCATCCCACGCTGGTAGTTCTCACTTTCTAGTTATTTTCTAGTCAGTTTGCTGACTTGATTTTTTTCCCAGCCTGGCTGACCAAGAAACACAGGAATTAACATTGCATGGGCCAAGGAACCTGAGCCCAAACTCCCTGCCAGCCACCCTTTACTAAGCTCTGAATTCATGGGGGACAGTACCACCCTCTTCCCAACCTGCAGGTCTTGATCTGGAACCCTTGAGGGTCCATTGGTAGATTTCAGGTCACTCTGCTAGATCTCCCAAGTGTAGGCTACCATGAGATGACATGGTGACAAGGCAGGTACACAATCTCTGCCCTCATGAGACTCATTGTCACCATGTCACCCAGCCCTGCCTTGTCACCATGTCCACCCAGCCCTGCCTTGTCACCATGTCACCCAGCCCTGTTTTCACTTTGCTCAGTTGAGGGATCTTAGTGCAAGATCCCTGAAGGGGTGGGAAAGAGGAGGAGACAAGTGGAGAGACATCATAGCCACCCTCCTGGAGCATCTGCTGTCTTCCAGCCACCATGCCAGGTTCTGGGGCTCAGAGCACTTAAGTGATTTGCTTATAGTCCATTAGTAAATTGAATATTTGTGTCTGGGCTCAGGTCTACCTGATTCTGATGCCTACACTTGGGAGATCTGGCAGAGTGACCTGCCCAGTTTGTTTAAACTGTCTGTGACTGGAGGGGAGACAGTCACAGGCATTAGGTAAGCAAGAAGACGAGCAAGGTAATTTCAGATTGTGATAAATGCTATATAGTCAAGGGTATGGGTGAGAAAGTACCCAGGTCAAGGCTGTGGTGGCCTGT